ATATATAGTAATTAGCCCCTTCTTTGCTGACCTAGTACTGATTTCCTCCAGGTATGAAGTGGTAAAGTTATCAGAGAAAGGGGCCTCACTCACAGGGAACTGATCGAAATCAAGCTGTCAGCTTCATCCTCTTTTTCAGTAACTAGTTCAGAGATGGCCATTTGTCCCTATTTGGTAAATGGAATACAGGGGGAAATTTGCTGAGAGAAAACAGTTCAGGAAAACGTTTTCTTTCCTGATAAAAAGGAAACATTTCTTTGCTTCTTTATCAATTTTAAGTATTGTTCTGTCAGAAAAATTCTCTGACCAAATATCTGAAAATGGTTCATCAACATATTGCCACCTTCTACCCCCCAAGCACCCCCCCCAATATTTTTCATGGTGCTTTGATTATTAAAATTTATTCTGTAAACTGGGGAATTAAATATCTCATTTTCTTTCAACTTTTATCTTACCTTTATCCTTCTTTGGTGATTTTGATGACTCTCTTAGGGTTGGAGGAGAGACATGTCTGTGTTTTGTCTGGAATCATTGGATCCTTAATGTGAACTACACTTGCACACAGGGTTAAGCATAGCGTTATTACAGGGTCTGAAGTTAGACTGCCTGTGTTTTAGCTCTAACCTTTTCATACACTGTCTCAATGATCATGGGTAAATTATTCAAAGTCTCTATTCCTTGATCTTTTTATGAGCAAAGTGCAAATTTTAAAAAGACCGTAAAAATGTATCTGTGTCCCCTCTAACTTCTCTGCTCCATGGTTTCAAGAAGACTGTGGGAGATGGTGGGTGTGTTTACCCTTCCCTGCGGATGCCTGTTGGTCAGTTTGTCAACAGAGATTCCCTGAGGGCCTTGTCTATGCCTAGTTCTGCTCTGAGTGCTATGGACACAGCTCTGAGGAAGACAAAGTGTATGCTTACAGTGATCTTCTGTGTTAGAGATAGTAAACTGACAAGTTATGAACAAATATAAAGAAAGATAACTTCAGATTAATAATACCCTGAAAAAGATACACTTGAGTGATATGGTAGAAAGTCACCTAATCAAGACAAATGAGACTCTCTGAAATACGCTCTCTTTGAAGAGGTGATGCTTGAAATCTGACAAATTAGAAGATCTAGTAGAAGAGGATTCTCGTCTTTTTCAGTCTTTTTTTAATGCTCTTTATTAATAGACTTTCTTAAGTCCAATCTAGTCAAATTTATCAATGTTTTCTCTGCTGGCTAATAATTTTGCATATTAATTTAAAAATCCTTCCCCTTAAAGTCTTCTAAAGCTTTATAGTTTTGCCTTTGACATTTAGACCTTGAGAACATCAAGAATGAGCTTTTTGCATTCATGCCTACTGATTTCTGCCAGAACCATATTCTGCAAATCCCTTCCTCTCCCGGGATCTGTGGTGCCATATCTCTCATATAGCAACTGCTTATAATGACATGAATCTGCTTCTATGCTTTGTATTCTGTTCAGTTTGTTTATTGGCCAATTCCTGGATGAAGACCACACTGCTTTGCTTATTCGCACTTCATGGTACATTTTGTTGTGAAATCCTCCCACTTAGCATTTCATCCTTTTTTTAATGGTGTTTGGGCTAGCCTTTGCTCTTTGCAATTTAGAATCAGCCTGTCAAGTCCTGCAGATACCTACACATTCTTCTAAGATATCATAGAATATTGAGTAGAATTACATTGAATGCATTCATCAATTTGAAGAGACTGAATCTTTGTAATATTATGTCTCCCAATCCAAGCACCTGGCATATCTCACATCATATGTCTGTGTATTTAGTTACAAGAATTTCTCAATAATTTTTTCTAATTATCTGTTTATAGTTTTGTACATCCTTTGTTAGATTTATTTTTAAGCACTTTAAACGTAAGTTCTATTGCTTATGGTAGCATTTTTGTAAAATTCCATTATAATTATGAAATATATCAAGTCAATTTGTTACTATTTTATTTATATTGGGGGGTAAATCTTTAGATTGTAAAGAGTGTTATCATGAATGGATGTCGAATTTTGTCAAATTTCTTCACTCTACTAATATGTATCCTTTAATTTGCTAATGTGACACACTTTTTTTCATTGTTTGAATGCTAAACAATTACTGCATTTTCAGGATAAAAACTTTATCATAATTTAATTTTATTTTTATGGACCTGTTTTACTAGTATTTTCTTTAAGATATTTGCATCTGTGATCATGACTAGGATTAGACTGTGATTTTTTGTTTCAAAATGTTTAACTCAGGGTTGCTATCAATGGCTCAAACCAGAAGAGTATTTCTTTTCTCATTTTATAAGAAGTCTAAAGATAAACAGTACTGGGTTTGTTAAATTAATAAATTCAAAGGGGGATGTCAGGACCCAGAATCATGAGGACAGGCTCACGCACTCAGGATATTCCACACCTTCCCTCACCCTCATCTCTTCTTCCCCAGAAATCTCCTCAAGACACCTTTCACCTCTGCATTTCTCAAGCTGTAGATCAGGGGATTCAGCATAGGGTTGAAAAGACTGTAGAACAATGATAGAATCTTCCTTTGCTCTTGAGAATGGCTGGATTTGGGGGCCGTGTACATGATGATGGCACTGCCAAAGAAGAGCCCGACCATGCAGAGGTGGGAGGAGCAGGTGGAGAAGGCCTTTCTGCGGCCCTCACCTGCCTGGATCCTCAGGATGGCAATCAGGATGCATGTGTAGGAGACCAACACCAAGCAGAGGGCCCGACTAACACGAACACAGAGCCTGCAAAGAGGACAGTTTGGCTGAGGCTTGTGTCGGCACAAGCCGACTTGAATATGGATATGATTTGACAGAAAAAGTGGTTTATTTTTTGTGGTCCACAAAAGGGTAGCTTCAGAATGAGAGAAATATGGACCAGAGCCAAGAGGAAGCTGAATATCCAGCAAGTGGCAGCCAGGACCGTGCACACTCTCCAGTTCATGACGACAGTGTAATGCAGAGGGTGGCAGATCGCCACGTACCAATCGTAGGACGTCACCACCAAGCTTGTACACTCTGTGACGGCAAATGCCAAATACAGAAAAGTCTGAAGTATACACGGAGCAAAGGAGATGGTTTTCTTCCGCATTATAAGATTTGCCAGCATCTTAGGGACAGTGCTTGAGGCATAGGCTATGTCGACAACAGCCAGGTTGGAGAGGAAGAAGTACATGGGGGTGTGCAGCTTGGAGTCCAGGCAGATGAGCACCAGGATGACCCCATTGCCCATCAAAATGAGACTGTAGAATAGCAAGAAGAATCCAAAGAGGAAAACTTCAAGTTCTGGGTCAACCTGGAATCCCAGCAGGATGACTTCCGAGATCCATGTCTGATTGCTTCCCATGTTCTTCTGACAGATAAGTAAAATACTGCACTTAGGACAAAAATTTTAGAGCTGAGGGGTAGAGAAGGAAAGAGAAATTATATGCTCATACAAAATGAGAATTTATGCCAGAGGCCACAAATCAGTAATTCATGGCTCTAATCCTGACCATAGCCCTGTGATGTTGATCTGAAAATTGTTTTTTTTAGTGATATTTAAAATGTTACCTATTTACCAATTTTAAAAATTAGTAGATTTTGCATAAAAGTTGGGGTCACTGTCTTCTTCTAAAAAAATAGGAGATTTTTCTTTTCTTAAAATTCATTGTAAGCAATAGTCAGCTGAAGCTAATGAGAAGATAGTGGCAGATCTTCTATCATTTACCAATTTTCACTAATCTCTATTTTCTCCCAGAAACTGAAGCTCAATGATGCTGAACAGTTTTTTCATTGTACTTACCTTATAGGTTTATATTTCATTAAGAAGAAAGTGAATATTTATGCTCAAAATGAGTCCTTAGGTTCTCCTATACTTCAAACATATGGAAATAAAATGCAAAATGCATACCCCCAAATATATAACAGAGTTTAAAATGAGACTGTTCTTCTATGTATCAGAAATTAATCAAAAACATGATTTTTTCCAAGTATGAAATCAGAAAAATCATACCTAGAACTCAGCTTTTATGGCGTCAAGACAAAGTTTGGGATATGGGTACCAATATGATTGACTGAAACTAAGAGCTTGGGTTGGGTTCATAAAACAAGGTCAAAACTAAATAGAAAAACAAGACAGCTATTGGGCCGCTGGATAAGGTGTCTGTCAGGAAGTCACTATGTGCTGGCTCTGTCATTAGATCTCCAGTGCCTGAGACACTGTTTGGGACCTAATTCTGTACGAGGGGCCCATGGAAGCAGATGAAGAACATAAAGACTCCAAACCACAAGACAGGTAGAAAGAAAAGGTGGAAAGATCAACCTGAAATAAAAATACTAGTAAAAACAAAGTCTTTCGTTCAAAATGTGTGCCTAAAAAACATAGTTTGGAAACTCACAAATATCATGCTGGAAAAGCAAGGTCAACGGCAGAAACCTGAATTCATTCAAGATGAAATTAAATGTATAAAATAATCTTCCAAAGACTCTAATATAAGTAAGAATGGTTAGGATGTTCCATTAGATTAATAAAGGCATAATATTTACTAAATGGTTAATAAATTAAGAAAAATAAACAAGGAAGCCAGGAAAACACAATCAGTGTAGAAAAAGAGATCAACAACAAACCTTTAAAATAAGAAATATAACCACATAATTTTTAAAAAAATCAATAAAGAGGATAATTTCCAGACCTAGAATCAAAGAGGGAAGTAGAGCTTTGGAAGGTCACATTAAGAACCCACCCGTCCTGTAATACAGACAGACAAAGGAATGATATTTTGAAGGTGGAATTTAAAGACACAAATAATAGATTAGAGGCTGCACTTAGACATAATAAAGTTTTCAGAGCAAAAACTGAATGGAGAAAATGGTGAAGAAACAGTATTTGAAGAGATTTCACCATAAACATTTCAGAATTGAAAACAGACCTAAGTCCTTAAATTGTAAATATTCCTTCCATCTAATGAGTGTGATACATAAGGTAATTGCACACTCAAGCAAAATGAAAATTTTTTCATAACTGAAGATGACATAAATCTTTAGATTAAAAATATACTCAGAAAACAGAATAGATAAATTTTAAAAATTATTAAAGAATGTAAATTCTTAACAATTATCTCTGACCGTTGTCTTCTCTCCATTCTCTACGATTCACTGTGTCTAGATCTTCTGGAAGTTCTATTCTAACAGCATTGTAGTCAACTAACCTGTCTCAAGGCTCTTAATTACCCTTTTGGACTTATTCTCTTTTTCTCTCTTCACCATGTTTTAGGCATTTCATAACTATATTTAAAATGCACATTTATGTGAAAATGAATATATGCATGTATATGCATGACTGGAATATTGTGCTGTACACCAGAGATAGACACATTGCAATTGACTGTGCTTCAATTTAAAAATAAATAAAATGTACATTTATTATGTGACTGACACCAAGTTACCAGTTATTCCATCTATTTTAAAATTTTAATTATTGTTTTTCTTTCCAAGATTTTTACGTTGATTCAATTTTTTGATAAAGTGCGTTGATTTATTTTATCTTAAATTTAAAAAATTGTGATTAAAATATGTTGATTCTTCTTATATCTATCGTTCTTGGCTCATTATAGTTTTTTTGTTTCATAAGTTTTGTGCTTTTTAATAGAAGCTATAATTATATTTGTCTATTAGGCAGTCTTTGCTAGACTTTTATAATGTACTTTTTTCAAGATTAAGAGGAAATACTAAAAGTTAGCAAGGGTAAAAATAATTACATACATAGGAACAACAATTCAACTGAACATGATTTCTTAGCAACAGCAAAAGATCTAGAGACAATAAGCTGCTGTCTTCAGTGTGCCAAGAGGGGGTCAGCTGTCATTCTAAAATTTTATGTCTTCAAGAATTAACTTGAATGAGTGAGATAAAAGTAAAACTTTATTGATGTGCAAATAAGAAAGCATTGCAGATCTACAGATCCTCAGTATACTATTAAAGAATATTCCTCAATAACAATAAAAGGCAACCCACAAGTAACTCAAATATATATATATATTTATATGTATATATAAATAATATTGATGTATAATTTGAAAAAATACACTGATAAATTTTATAACCTAAAGATTATGAAATAATTATTTCGGTATTTTAAAAGGGGGAAATTAAGACTTTTAAAAATAATGAGTAAATGGAGAAAGGCGTGTTAGATAGGTAGAGTGCTAATATTCTTGATGAGAACTGAAGCCCTAAGTCATTTTAAATCTGTAAGAATCAATTAAACTTGGATATCCATTCAGGGAAATTATAAAAAATAGACATAAAATATATGGTTCCCCAAATTACAAGATACATAAAAAGAAACTAACAACATTATTAATCCAACAGTAGGCAGAAGGTGAAAAAGGAGAAATAAAGAAGCAAATAAATTTTTTGATAAACAGGATATACAAATCAAGCTGTATTAATAAGTCTATATATGTCAACTCTCACATTATATGTAAATGTAAGACACTAAAAGAGTTAAACACATTAGAAGAAAAAAAATCAAGTTACAAAACACTTACAAGAGCCACACCTAAACTACCTAAACATAAGTACAAACATGCAAACTCTCTCTCTCTCTCTCTCTCTCTCACACACACACACACACAAACACACACACACACACACAAAGGTCAAATATGAAACGATGTAAAAACATCTTTGAGCCACATAGAAACTGGTGGCAGCAATACTGGTATGGCGCCAAAGCACTTATAGGCACATGGGAACTACTATAGAACAACAAGGAAAGGAAAAATCCACCAAAAAGGTAAAACTCAGGATCTGTTCCCTATAAAAAGACGTAATACACCTCAAATAGAAAGGAACTTCATTAATCTGAAAAAGAGTATCTCCCAAACATACAGAAACATTATATTTAATGGTGAAATAATAAAAAGTTTTTCCTCTGAGTTAGGAAATAAACCTAATGAGCTACACCAACACCGCTTTTATTTAATGTGGACTCAGTAAGTAGCCAGCAGTAAGGCAGAGAGAAGTAAAGGGTAGGAGAATTAAAACAGAGAATATAAAATATTAATTGTGTACATTGAAGAAAACTCTGTAGGTAAGCCACTGAAATAAATAAGCAAATTAAAAAAATTAATTAATAAGCAAATTTACTCATTTATACTCTGGATCCAAGGCCAATGTACAAAATGAAAAAATGTATATGTTTAAAGATTGGAAATTTCTAAAGATTCCAAATTTCTCCCAATTCATCTATAATTTTAATGAAGTTCAAATTTGCATCCTAGCAAGTTTCCTTTATCTGTGGAAATAATAATCTTATTCTAGATGTTGAATGTGAACATTCAAATAATCAGTGATAGCCAAGGATATCTTCAGAGTAAAGAATGAAGTAAAAAGACTTTATTGACTGTGAACATATAAAGCCATCACAGTTAAGTCAGTGTGTTATTGGGGCAAAGATAAATAAGCCAATGAAACAGCTTGGTTAACTCAGAAATTCAGGAATACACACACACACACACACACACACACACACACACACACACACTTGCTCTAAGACAAAGGAGCCACTGGTATTTTCAATAAATAGTACTGTGTTGGCTGTCTATCTACGAGGAAAAATCTAAGGCATGGTCCCTACCACACGTGATACACAAAATAAACTTCAGGTAGGTTTTAGATGTAAACAGGAAGGATATGACCATCCTTCCAGAATACAAATTGGAGGGTCTTAGAGTAGCAATGTTTCTTAAACAGAATCCAAACAAAGAAAAGATTGTCTCATTACCATGTTACACACACTGGCTGGATTTTCTTTGCTTTTTATATTTTTAAAATTTAAGAATAACACGTTTTCACTTCATTATTTAGAAAAACCATTTCTCAAACATGACTTAGAAAAAAAGTATATATTTGAATTTTTGAAGTTTTCATAAAGCAAATGTTGTCACTGAGCATGATGCCAGATACAGAACAGAGGTGCAATGGAGAAATTGTTTTCATAGGAGAACTTTCAATCTTATTTCTACCATTGAATACTTTCCTCTAAACTGTGATAAGGCACAGTGGAAGCCATGTAAGCCCACTCTAGGATGTGAGAAACAGTTTCCCTGGGATTAGAACAACCATCCCAACAGAATAAGCCCGGGAACACCAAATCAGGAACAGCTAATCTGGCACCTCTACCAGCTTCGCTGATACAGGAAAAAGTAATAATGGGATTTTTATCAAATAGCTATAAGATTTCTCCCTGCCACTTAACCACTTATTAACACCTCCCCACTGAGCAGCAAAGAAAAGGAGGTCAATGTCCCTCACTTCCCTGGCAGGAGGACATTTCCAGGATGCAGTAGGAGCAGATGGTCT